GGTAAGCATCACACACAGAAAGACAGGCCGAGGGTGAACTTTCAGCGAAAGAGGACTAATTCCACCATTACTCGTTTTGCAAATTGGGATTATTTGGACAAGCCAGGCTAAATTTCATCTTGGCATTATTAATTCTTCGAGAAAGTCTGCTAAGCCAACGAACAGTTATAAACAGGGGAAAAGTTGACTATTTGCTCTTGGGGGGAGCAAAGGCAAATGAACAGCTTTAAAGTCCTCTGGAATTACACTGATGTGCCGAACTTTTGTCTAATTATTATGTTCCTAGAAAACTGAGCAGAAACAACTCCCCTTCCCAAACCAGCCCCAATTTCAAAAGCACTAGGGAAAATTTGTCTTTAATGCAGAGGAGAAAGTTTTCACAAGCAGAAGGCTCCTGATCGCCAGTTTACCTTTGTATAAATTATAAATGTCAAACACTGGATTTTCTTTTAAATAAGGACCAAGCTAATTTTAAAAAGCAATTATTTGTCATAACCCCCGCCTCCTTTTGCTGTCTGCTGTGTGGAAGCAGGTGGTTCATAGGAGTGTGCTCTCATGATTTTTTTTGTAATATGCCAGATTTGGTGTTTAATGTTCTTACAAACTGTCTGAATCTACAAAAAGCGGCAGATTTCATTTACAAAGAGGAAAAGTGAGGCCTAAAATGAGTCTGAAGTACACAGCTGAGATTCAAGTTCAGGGTTATATGACCACCTCAAAACCCATGACCATTATGCTATGTTGCACTGCAGAGTCAGCTATGGCCTTCCCAAAGCAAAACCAATGTGGTGTTGGAGAGGGGAGGGAGTCCTAAAAAAGCTATGCAATTTGGATTGTGCAGAGGAAATCAAACCACAACCCAGTTTGGGGAATATTTGCAAGACATTTCAAAAGTCTGTGAGTGTGGGAAGTAAACATCTTGCTGATAAAGCCACACTTAGTTCCTAGTGGAATTAAACCACAATTCTTCAAGGATTGCTTCACTTGACCAATGGCCATAATATTGTGTGTAAAACAAAGTTCTAAAAATTGGGGTGGAAAATGGGGTTCTTTGAAAGTTAAACCTAATCTTTGGGTCAATGCATTCTTAAAGAGAGTAAATTACTCCTTTTTGCAACTAATCTGAACCCTGACAGATTCCTACACTGAGTTCCTAGGAGTGTGATGGGAAAATAATTAGAAGTGACAAGGCTGCCCTCTCCAAATGTTTACAGCAAGGTTTCTCCAGGTGTGTTGCAAAGGGAGGGTTCTTCCTATCTGAGTCTGTTGCTAGGACAACAATTTACAAGTTGTTACTGCTGGTTGAGTCGGAGCTGACTCATGGCTGACCTTCCAGCATGTTTTCCAGAGGCACTAAATGGCACAGGGGGAGATTATCTCTATTTTTCCTACAGAGCAGCTGGTGGATTCAAACCGTATGCCTTCAGGTTGGCAGCGCAGCTCCTTACCACTAGGCTATGCCACTTGTCTTTTCCACTGGGTGAACACCTATCCTGATTATAAAAAAACAGCAGTGGGTAAAACCATCCATTTCTACCAAACAGCACTGGTGGTCATTATATTGGTTTTTGTTTTGGGTTGTTTTTTTTTTAATGCCACAGACTTGTAGCAAAACAAACACATGAAGTGGCAACAATTAATTTTATTCAACCTCAGCCTGTAAGTATAGAGCCTTCAAATAGTTGGTGTGGTGAAAGGCGAACAGTATACACAAAGCACTTCTGCTACAAACTAATAATGTATAACAGGTGCCCAAGGGAAAAAAAAGTCTGCTGATAATTCAAACTGATTGCTTACTTAGTTACATATTCTTCCGTATATCATCTTCACTTGGGTAAATAACTTACAAACTGTAGTTATAACAACTTGGCTATTTGCAGACATTTTCTCAAAAATGAATGAAGCAAGTCTGTCACTTGAAGGAAAACAATGGACAGTACCTGTTGATAAAATCAAAGTTTTGTTTCCAAGCAAAAGTTGGGAGTTTGGGAGAGCTTGATTCTGCCACCTTGAGTTTAGTATCTTTCACACAGTTAAGCTCTTTTAGATAAGAGAGGTTGTAACATTAATCAATGTGACTTTGTGGTTCTATGTCATTAAGTTTAAAGTAAGTAAACATAAGATTTACATGACTCAGAGAACTAACAATTTCTAAAGGATTAATGTCTGAAGCTACAAAAATCACACCCTGGGGGGAAAAAGATCTGCTAAAACTGCACAGCAGACCAAAAGACTGCAATGAAATAATATTAAAGTTTGTTAAAGGTTTCAGAGGCCACATTGCGACTAATCTTTAAGAAACTACTACCTGCTAAATCTGGGTACAATATCAAACAGTAGCATCTACAGTTATCTGAAAGGACCATTAAATATTCCTTCCTGTTCATGTATTTATATAAGGCTAGATTCTCTTCATTCAAGTCATTTCCTTGACAGCTGATGAAATGGCAGGTTTTCCCAGGCTGTAAACTGCAAAGAAGGAGATCAGCCCTCTTTTTCCAGCAGGGATTCTGGTGGATTCGAAACAGCAGAGAGGCACAGCATTTAGGTTAGCAATGCAACTCCCTATAGACCATCAGAGCTCGCCTTCTGCACAGACTTCAGCTAAAATAGCAACACAACAGTTTGGGTGCACAAGCAGACACCAGAATCCAAATGTCTCCCGGTAGACACTGAAGATATTTGCAAAAAATGTGAAAGAATTACTTCGTTTTGGAAAATATAGCTTTCCTCCCTCCCCCCATTAAACCATTCAGATGCAATGTATTTAGTGATGTTGGTAAGTGAATGTTGTCAGTTTCCTCAGCTTTAATTTCTGAGATGGTAAATACTGTGGGTATATCCCACATAAACGAAGCTCTTTTGACATAGGCACAGAACAAAGGACTGAGGCTACAAAGGTTTAAAGAACATATGTTATTTCATAGCAACATTACATTATTGACCTTTTCACAGGGCAAACTGGTAAATGGCATTTTATTGTGCCTCTGAAGTACAAAGGGCAAAAGAAGTCTTTTAATCAGATAACACAATTTTCAATCAGGAAAATAAAATGTTTTTCTACACTGCAGTAAGTGGTTATCACAAAGGAACAAATATTTTAGAAGGGAGTATTGAATATAATGAAGAAGAAAACCAAGTTTGGGCTCCAGCGCAGACTCTGCGGGCTGCTCTAAGCCTTGTTGTTGTTGTTATGTGCCTTCAAGTCGCTTGCGACTCATAGCAACCCTACATGCAACAGCCCTAAACTCTGCTCTGTCCTGTGCCAATCGCACTGTCTCCGATACACCCATCCCGATTACCCCAGTCACTGAATCAATCCATCTCATCGAGGGTCTTCCTCTTCTGCACTGTCCCTCCACCCTCCCAAGCATGATGTCCCTCTCCAAGGGCTAGTCCAGCTATTAAAGGAGCCTATCTTTAGAGCCCTGGTGGTGCGCTAACTGATAAGCTCTAACTACTTCACTGCATGAGGCTGTGTCTCCTCCCTTAAAAATTGCCCCCTTGGGAGCCCTATGGGGCAGTTCTACTTTGCCAAAGAGCCACTCTCAGTCTGAATCAAATGAACTACGTAGCCATGGATTTTAAATTTTTTTTAATTGCTTTTAGTTATCAATTCCGTGATTCTAAACCAGGGCTTCAGTCTGATTGGCCTTTATGACATTCTAAGAAGCGCCCCATAAAGGCAGTTGGATGGAGCTGAGTGAGCACCTTCCCTCACAGACTGTTGTTTACTGTGGAGTCAAACGGACTCATAGCTGAACCTGGGCGGTTTTTCAGAGGCTGTAAATCGCATGGAAGGAGAATGCCCATTTGTATCCGGGAAGCAGGCAGTGGATTTGCACCGTGTGCCTTTGAGTTAACAGCACAAAGCCCCCAAAAGTCAAGGAACTGATTTCCAGTTAGTCCTAACCCAGCCCACTAGATTTATTCCTTGCAATTAGGAGCATCTGCAAGCTCTCTCTGGAAACAATGATCAATCGCAGCAAGATCCTTCACGAATCTCAAATTCCGTAACTGCGCTCCACAGCCAGAATGCTGCGTTCCTTATTCACTCTGCCACATGCTGGTTGTGTGACTTTGGGTAAATTCCTTAACTTCTCTGAGCCTCAGCTTCCTGTTCTGCAAGATGGGCATAATAACACCGCCTCAAAGGGCTGTTAAGCATAGACAGAGGTTGTCTGACAGGTGTTTCAGAATTCGTGGTACTGAATAGTGCCCCATTAATGTAGGCTATTGTTGTTATTAACCTCAAAGCGAACAAAAGGAATATTTTCCAGTTCGTCCCACTCCCAGATCAGTTTCCTTTCCAGCAAGTGACTACTGCACTCCCCATGATGACGTTCACCCCACATCAACTCCTAGTCTGCACAACTCCTTTCAACTATTGGAACTACAGATGCAAACGATCCTCCTCAAATCTGTACTCTCTCTCTTTTCACCCTAAAGCTCATCACTGAAGTTCGGGACAGTACGCAATTCCTTAGTTACCCACAGCTTGGCTTGGTGTCTACTGACCACTCCCCCTCAATCTCTTAACTCAATCCTGGACCATAAAGGTTTCCTTCACTTAGATCGTGGACCACCCAGGTTGGGCAGTGGTGGTCTGGGGTCTTTATGACCTGGGATTCTGCCTGGAGGTTGGGGGGTAGTCTTCAGAGAGATGAAAGAAAAACCGCCCCATTTCCCAGAGGGGGTCCAAGGCACTCACCCTCCATCCCTAGAGGCGGCGGTTCCGGGTGCCCGAACCGGAAGCAGCCCGTACACTGTTTGCAGTTCCCCTGGTTACTGCGGGTCTGCGGACCAATGATAGTGCCGTTCGTGTGACTGAGCCCGCCCCCACGGGCAATGACGTAGGGCGGGCGAGCTGGAGCTCCTCCTTATAGCTTCCGGTCCGCCCCGCCTTCTAGAAGCACTGATCGTTGTACGCAAGCGTGTCTGGCTGAGGCCCTAGGCAGCGTGGTGCGCAGGCGCCCAGGGCGCTGCCAACACAAGTAGCAATGGACGCGCTGGAGTCGTTGTTGGACGAGGTGGCCTTGGAGGGGCTCGATGGCCTGTGCCTGCCTGCACTCTGGAGTCGCCTGGAGACGCGAGTGCCGCCCTTCCCGCTGCCTTTGGAGCCCTACACGCAGGAGTTTCTCTGGCGGGCTCTTGCCACGCATCCGGGCATCAGCTTCTTTGAGGAGCCACGAGAGCGACCTGATCTCCAACTCCAGGACCGGTCAGTCTCATGAGTCCCCAGCGGGTGTAGACCAACTCTGAGCCCGGGAGCTGAGGGAGCCTGCTGGGGGGTGGGGACCAGATTCAGACGGGAGGAGGATGGGGGAGAGGTGCCCAGGGCAGATCGAGTGTGATGGAGGGCGTGGTGGTCAGGCTTATTTGGGGTCCAGCAGGCCTGGCAGGGCCTAGGCGTCTCACGGAGTTGGGAAGTCATCGGGTGATCCGCATTGAGCCCTTTGTGTGTTTGGGGGTGGTGGCGAGGAGGACTGGGATCTGAGACCGAGCCATCAGCCTTGCAAGAGTCTTTCCTTTAAAATAAAGGGTCGAATCGAAGCGGGAGCGGGGTTTAACTCAAGACTGGAGATAGTTGAGGTCAGTAAAACTTTACGGATCGTTTCACGCATTGCTAGCTTGGTGGTGTTGTGTACGATCGAGCCGGGACCGAAACATAGCTGACTCCCAGCCGGGTTTCAGAAGCTGTAACTCGCACGAGAGGCGATGGCCCATCTTTCTCCCGAGTAGCAGCTGCAACTCCCTAACCACTAGCTTGTTGTTGTTATGTACCATTGAGTGGGAACTGACTCATAGCTGAGCCTCCAGCGGGTTTTGAGAGGCTGTAAATCACACAGGGAAAGATTGGCCGTCTTGCTGCTGAGCTGGTGGATGCAAACCACCGCCTTTGTGTTGACAGCCACCAGAGCTCCCTTAACCACCAGCTCGTTGTTGTGTGCCCTGCCGATCCTTAGCTGCTGGCCCTCCGTCGGGCTTTCAGAGGCAATAATAAATCTGTGGAAAATTGCCCATCTTTCTCCCATGGAGGAGCTGGTGGATTCAGACCAACTAACTATGGGGTTGGCAATGCACTTCCTTATCACTATGCCACCAGAAGCTACACTGCAATCCCGAAGGCAGACGGTTCAAGGCCACCATCTGCTCTGCGGAAGGATGGGCAATCTCCTCCCCTGCCATTAACTGCCTCTGAAAACCTCCAGAGGGTCATCTGTACAAGCCCCCAAAGCTCCCTAACCACTCGCTTAGTAAGTCTAAAACAAACGAGAACTTTCAAACTGCAGGCTTAGTAATGGTTGACATTCATTGAGTGCTTAGTACCGGCGAGATGCCACCGTTCTAGCCTTCTGTTCTAGAGTCTCCAGGTAGAGGTATCCATTTGATCCTCGCAGTAATTCTAATGAGATAGGTGCAGTTGTGTTTCCTACTTTATATATGAAGAAACACAGTCCCAGAGGAAAATTAGGTATTCTCTCTACAGTTGGAGAAGTAATAAGTAAGTAACTGGGTGTTGATTTGACCATCTCTCTTAACAGCCTTTGGGTGTAAGACATGTGATGAGGGTCTCAGGAGGCCCCAGGAGATAGTAAGATCCAAAAAGGTTGATGTTAGTTTGCCAATTGCCAGAGTACTCTGGGTGGTGGTGTATGCTGTTGAGTTGGAACTGACTCATAACTGACCCTCCAGCAGGTTTTCAGAGGCAGTAAATAACAATGGGAGGAGATTGCCCATCCTCCTTCTAAGGAGCAGCTGGTAGATTCAAACCATGTATCTGTGGGATTGCAGTGCAGCTTCTTACCCCTAGACCACCAGAGCTCCCTGTATTTTGGGTGGAGAAGAGTAAACATGAAAGCATGACAGAAGAGAAATCTACTTAGGTAGTGTGTAATAGGAGGTAGGAATTATAGTTGACACTTCAGGTAAAGTGTGTAATAGGAAGTCAGGAATTATAGTTGACACTTAAATGGGCTTCTTTATGAGTTGGGCACTGTTCCAAGACCCTACATTTAGCAATTTACTTAAATTTTATAATAGCCTTTTGAGGTAGATTTCATCCCCCTTTTCCTAGTGAGACAATTATGACACAGACGGGTCATCAACTAGTAAAAGCAGAACTAGGATTTGAATCCAGGTAGTTTGGGTCACTAAATGGGTTTTTTCTTTTGAAGTTTGAGTCCTGAATCCATTTTTCTCTTAAATGGATCCATTTCCGTTGGACTTAAGAGGTCTTTGAACTCACTTAAGAAGTTTGTTCCTTATCAAAGGGACAATTTAGAAGCCATTGATTGAGGAGAGTAGCCTGATGAGGAAATATTAAGAAGGGAGATTAGTAGATTAGGGCAAAGATTTGTATTGATACAATCATGAACAAAAGAGTAGTCTGAGTATAGATAATCTCGTGGTGTTAAGACCTATTAAGGCAGAAAAATCAAAAGGATTTGGTAACTAGTTGGGTGTGGAATATAAATCGTGGTAGGGATTAAAGACTGAAGCCTGCTGGTTGCTGGTATTTTGGTGGCCGATTCTCCACATTGAGGCAAGGAACATAAAGGAAGAGCAGACTACTGGGTGATGAGGAAGGCTCTGGGGCCACTTTAGGACACGGAAAATTTGAAGCTCAGTTGAGGCCTCCAGCTGGAAATTCTTTGCCTATTTTCATTCCCATGAAGTGTTTACAGGACTCTGTTTAGCAAAATTTGTGTAAAAGTTGGTAATAATTGTGAGACTGGCACAGGATTAGGGCAGGGTTTAGATCCATCGGTTATAGGGTTGCTATGGGTCGTAGTTGACTCACTGGCACCTAACGGCAACAGCAACATGTAGCAAACAACTAGCTTCATGGGATTAAAGGAAAGATTGAGAGAAGGACTGAGTCCCATAGAATGGGTTTGAACCGCTCACTTTAAAGCAGTAACCCAGTGCTTGACCATCACACCACGTTGAGTCATACTCTCCAGTGAGTAATTAATCTCATCCCTAGAAGAGAGTATAGTGTAATTGGAGACCTTAAGGCATAGCTCTGAGGAACACCAGCATTTCAAGCTGCAAGGAGGGCCAGGAAACCTTCAAAAGAAGACGGGGAAGCTATGGCTGGAGAGACAGACAGACCAGGGTGGTGATGTGAAAAATAGGAGAGAATATAGCGTTAAACAAGTAGATAAACAAATATAGATTTATTCTCTACTAGACTAGTGCAGAACATAGCTAATTTCAAAGGCAAACTTAAACTTGGCAGAGTTTATCCTACAAATGCTACAAGGCACCTGGGAGGGGCTTCCTTTGGCAGTTAGATTCCATCTAATTTGAGGTATTTGGTAAACAATTGAAGATCTAAGATCGCTGTTTGGAGGAAAAGATGGGTGGAGATTCACGCGTAAGAATTGTTAATACACAGGTGATTAGTGATTATAAAAATGGATAAATGTACTTGAAAACAAGAGACAGAGGTAATTTCAGGAGTAAAACTCTTAATCATCATGTCTGAATGTAATGTTTTAGACACTAAGCAACACACATGAGGAGTATCTTGTTGACAGGTGCCATCTAAACAATAGATCTAGACCTTGCTCTGTCTTGCTCCAGCCTCATACTTAAACTCTTTGTCGCAGTCTCTGTGTCAATCCATCCTGCTGAGGGTCTTTCTCTCATCCCCCACCTTTCCCAGAATTAGGTCTTTTTCAAAGGACTGGCCCCTCCTGATAGTAACCCCAAAGTATGTGAGATGAAGTTTCACCATCCTTGCCTCTCGGTAGCACCCCGCTTCCCCTTCCTCTAAGACAAGTTTGTCTGTTTGTATGGCAGTCCATGGAATAATCAATACTCTCCTCTAACACCACAGTTCAAAACTTCATTTATTCTCTTGTCATCTCTATTCGTTGTTCAACATTAAGATGCATCAAAAGCAATCAAAAAGACCTTGGCTTAGATTGGATGCACCTTAGTCTTTAGACTAATATCCTTGCTATTTAGCACTTTGGAGAGATCCTTGACATTGAATTTTCCCAGTGCTACCTGTCTTTTGATTTCTTGACTTCTGTTAGCACGGATGTTGACTGTGGATCCAAGTTCAAAATCATTGACAACCTTAATTCCTTCTCCATCTGTATTGCCTATTGGTCCAATGGTGAGGGGTTTTGTTTTCCTGACGTTGAAGACCATAGCCATTAATCTTCCACAGTAAGTGTTTAAAGCCCTCTTCGCTTCCAGGAAGCAAGGCTGTCATCTGCATAATGTAGGTTGTTGATGAGTTTTCTAAACCTGATACCACATCTCTCTGTAGTGTTCAAGAAGGTGTTCTTGAATGATTTGCTCAGCATACAGATGGAACAAGCATGGAGAAAGGATACAATCCTGATACATACTTTTCCTGATTTTAAACCATGCAGTGTTCCTTTGTTCTGTTCCCACAGCTGCTTTTTGGTCTATGTATAGGTTTTGAATGAACACAATTAAGAGTTCTTAAGTTATCCAGCTGTCTTCATTGTTAAGTATTAATTGTAAGGAGTTGCACTGCCAACCCAAAGGCAACACAATTTGAACCCAGCAGCTGCGCCAAGGGAGAAAAAGGGCCCTCATCTCTCATGGGATTTGTATGACTCATAGCGACCCTACAAACAGTTCTAAACCCTGTCCTATTCTGTGCCCACCTCACAAGCTCTGACACACTTGAGCCCATTGCTGCGGTCACTGTGTCAATCTACCTGGTTGAGGGTCTTCTCCCTTGCTGCCCTTTTTCCTTTCCAAGCATGATGTCCTCCAAGGAGTAGCCTTTCCTAGCAGCATGCCCAAATGAGGCTCTCTGGCTGCACCTTCTCTAAGACCTATCACTTTATTCTTTTGGCATTCCAAGGGAATTTAAGTACTCTTCTCCAACACCATAGTTCAGAGGCATAGATTTTTTTCTTCTGTCATGTGATTTACTCCCTATAAAAACCTCTCTGGAGGGTCAACTATGAGTCAGTTCTGACTCAGTGATACATAACAACAATAGAAGGATCACAAGTTGATATATATATAGATTTTTTTTTTTTTTCTTTCACTGCTTAGAAGGCTACTAGTTTGAATTCAGGGCATAGACTAGGGGAAAGTATTCTCTGTTGACTCTGGAGAAAGGTACTTCTCTCTAACCTCTAGTTCTTGTTTGAAATAGCCTGTGACCTGGCATCTGTCTTCCTCCATCTCTACTTGTTTACATCATCATTCGCTCATTCT